CTTATTGACCTCTTCTGATGGGATACACACCAAAACGTTCTTGTTCAATTTCAGTATCAAGCTGGCGTCTGACAATATCCATATAGGTAGATACTGTATGTCATATTTTGTACTGTGGAAATGTGATCATATCTATTAAGCAGAGTAAAATCATTGCATTATCAGACCAAAATATTTATTTATATAAAATCCATTCAATTTTCCTAAATTATACAGATAATATCAAAGGAGAAAAATCTGAAGCCCTCATCCTGTAAGAGCCCTTTCTGGACAAAAGTATCCCCTCCTGAACAGTTTCTGTTGTGTTTCAGGGATTAGTTCAATAATTTATCCCCCTGACTATAAGAAAATGCTGAATACCTCAGAACTGAAAGCCTTTTCTTTATTCCCTCTGCGTACTCATTTCAAGTTTTTGTGGCTTTGTTCTTTGAATCACTGCTGACTTGCATGTTAGGACTTTTAAAGAAAGCTGTGTGTTACCTTGAGAACGCAAGTGAGTTAATTTTCCACCTAACACTAAAGTAATATAAATTACCATATACTAAGTACTGCTTGTTGTTTTGATTTCCTTGAAGTATCATGGAGAAATTATGAATACAATTTCTTGTGTAATGGGTCTGAACAATACCCTTAATAGGTAGAGAAAACAGAGGGAATAAAAAGGAGTCAGAGTCCATCAGATCATATTGTACTAAATATCACTAGGTAGTACATATGTTGACAGCCTGATTGCAATCTCCTGTGATCTGTTCTTCATTCTTTGCCCAGCATCTTGTAATTTAGACCTAAAGAGCTAAATTAAACTCACTTGCAGAAGGTCTGCTGGTAGCACAAAACAGCGACATCAGTACAAAGGGAATTTGCTCTACTCTCACTAGACTATCAATGGACAGTTGTACTGCAGAATCTTGCATGTTTAAGATTAGGAAATGAAGGGAGGAGAAATGGGTGACTGTTTTTTTTACAGCTCTTTCAGCTGACTCAGAACCTGCAGCTGAGTGGAGTTCAGAGGAGCAGTGACAGCCCTTCCAGCAGAACTTCTCTGGCTCCCACCAGAAGTTTACCTTTGTAAACAGGCACTTCTGACTGCCGTGTGGCTGACTCATTCCTCCATATAATACACAGCTGCAGAACTGAGTAGTTGCTCTGAGGCTGTTTTTCCAGCTAGGAAAGTACATAACAAATTCATAAGCAGTGCTGAAAAAATCCGGTTGAGAAATAAGCATTCGGCATTCTTTTAGGGACGTAATATCTGCCCTGTGAGAGGGGCAGGGGAAATCGCTTTCTATTTTAGTTCTTGATTATTTCCATTCTTATTTCAATTTAGAGATTGCACTGTTAGTATCTCTTACTACCTGTGTCTGATTTCTGGGCATTCCTGCCAGCCTGATATGAATTCCCTGTGGGGGCTGTTTTATTGCATCATGCATTAAGTGAAGATAAACCTATATGTCTGGTTTCTGTGGAGGTGAAACTTAAAGGGAAGAGAAATCTGGCTTTTCTACCTGAGCAGAAACATCTCAGTCTTAAACCTGGCTAGTCTTTTTAATGTTTGTCTGACCTAAGGATGTGTTATTTATTCACAAGGGATAGCAAAAGAAAAAAAGTAAACATGCTTCCTATTACAACTCTTCTTCTCAATGTATGTGAGAGGTTCATTGCTTCAAAAACCAGTACATCTGTGCATGTCCTTATATTTTGTCCTGAGTTCAGCAGTAGCAGTCATTTTTCTCCTTCTTGGTAGCTGGTGCAGTGCTGTGTTTTGACTTTCGGCTCGGGAACAGAGCTGATAACAAGGATGTTTTGGTTTGGCCAAGGACTTTGTGAGCCTCATGCTCTGCCAGGGAGGAAGGGAAGCCAGGAGGAAGCAGAGACAGGACACCTGACCCAAACTGACCGAAGAGGTATTCCATACCACAGCGTGTCATGCCCAGGATGTAACGGGGAGTTAGCTGGAAGGGCTGGTGGACTGCGGGGCTGGAGGAGGTAGGGGTCAGAGCTTGGTTGGGCTGGGGGGGGGGGGCAAGTTATCAGTCAGCTGATGGTGAGATGTTGTATTCTCTTCCCTTGTTATTTCCTTTATCATTATTATCACTGGTGATAGCAGTAGTGATTTGTGTTATACCTTAGTTACTACTTAGTTACACTGTTCTTATCTCAACCTGTGGGAGTTGCATTCTTTTCTATTCTCCTCTCTGTCCCTCTGGAAGTAGGGGGAGGGCAAGAAGGGGGGGAAGTGAGTGAACAAGCTGTCTGACTGGGTTTAAACCACAACATATTTGTACAATATCTTGAAGGATTTAAAAAATGAGTGGTCTGAATTACCAGTTGAAGGGTGAACAGAAATATGGATGAGTTTACAGGAAACTACCTGAACTTTCTAATTTTCCTGTGAATTATTTCCATTTCATCTAGAATTGGTTTGAATAAGTCATCATATTTTATCATGAAAAGTTTATAATTTATAAGAATTTAAAGCACCTCTGATCACATTCCTCTTTATGGTACAATATGCGTTTTTTATTTGTATCTGAGTCTGTCTAATAATAATGAAAAGAATTATTCAAATACGGGATCTAACTATTAATTTTCCGTGGTGCAAAACTTTATCTGTAGTGGTATCTTTAATATTTCATAGGAAAGTAAAAATGAAAGAAACTTTTATATGTTTGAGAGGGAAGCTTTGACCATCTTGTCTGAAATTTCTCAAACACAGCTCTTGTGCAAAGAAGATCAAAGAGGAAACTAAGATTTCATGTCTTGAAGATCCACTAAGAGAGCACATTTGCTAGTACAGCTTCAAACAGAAAGACTAGAGAGTGTACACCTCAAGGCCTTTCTGCAACACAAACCGGTGCGAGTAGTGATGATTGGGAGATCTTCAAAAGCTCACTCCTAGTCTGAGCTAAAACACTAAAGTTTAGGAACCTATTGACATCTGGATACGACACCAAAGGAGATGAGCTACTCTTCAGTTGTTGGTGTCTTCAAATAAAATTTCAAAGCTTTGGATAAAGTTTTCCTTCCAAAAAGTCAAAATACAAAAAGGTTAATAGAAGGAAATATAAGGTGGAATTTGATTACTTAATGAACATATAGGAGACCAAATCTTTTGAGCAGATCCAGTCTTTGGAACAGAGTTGAAATAGTCTAGGCAAAGCAAAATAGATATTGTAATTCTAATGGCTAAGGAATTTGAAATTGAGGTCTTTAAACTTTCATTTAATATAGTTGCAGTCTGGGCAGATTTTTGAGACTGTGTTGTGATCTTTAGTAGCAGTAGCTAGAATGGTATGGCAGCAACATGAATAGAATTGCAGCCTCAATTCTTATAAGCACAGGATAAAAAATGCTTATTTTTTTCCATCTTTTCTTGATCTGCTTTTGCTATTATATGTGGAAGATGGAAGTGAAAGCACAGGCCTGCAGCTATGGCTCCAACAAAAAAGGGTCCAGGACTGAAGGGTTTTGTCAGCCCCTTTTATTTATTTTTATTTATTTATTTATTGCCCACAAATACTGGGGCTTTTTGCTTTCTCTGTCTGAAAGTGAAATGTAACCATAAATGTAAATAGAGCCCTGGTCCAACACAGACCTCCATCTATGAATTCTACACAGAAATGGCCAGGACTGAAAGCTTTCAGCAGCCCTCACCTTCCCTTGCAGGCCCTTCACAGCCTTACAAACACTGGGACTCCATGCTTTATCCCTCCCCAGACCCTTACCCAAACCCAGAAATCGTATGTGCTCTTCGATGTCATGGAGGCTTTCAAGGACCAAATTGTCAAGACTTTGGGAGCATGCCATGCAGTTGTTTGTCTGCCCCAGCAGTATACTTTGGTAGCAAATCATTTTTCCAAAGGGGAGACTTAGGTCAGAAGTACTGAGACCTCTCCCTGTGGCTTTCTGCTTCAGAAAGAGCTAGGCTGACTGGAGCTTGTGTAGCTTCTAAAGTCCAGCCTTGTTGAGAAAGATATGATGAAAGTACTGGCTTGTCTCTTTCTCTCCTAATATCATTCATGCAGTTTCTGCTCTTCTTTTGCTGGATTAGAACATGCTAGCCTATTCTTCATTTTGAAAATTAATTCCACTCTTCTAGATAAATCTTTTCTTTTTCAAATTACCAATTGTTAGATCTATTGAATTTATCCTATGTGGAACTTCCAACTGACTAGACAAGCATACAAAAAATAAATCATCTTTCTGTTGAACCTGACTGCTTATTATTCTGCCAGATGAAGTTATTTTGTGGGACAATAATGGCTGATATTGTTTTTTCCTCCTTTCCAAGCGCTGTTAAGTACCAGAACCTTTCTACTTGGTGCCAGAATCAAGGTGCCTGCTTAGTTACAGATAAAAACATGCATCTGCTCAGTATCAGAGATGCAGAACAAGATAAATACTTGCATAGGTATGCTGAGCTATACACGTGACATTAAAATCGCATCTGCTTATGTATCATAGCTTTGATTATTTAATGTAATTATTCACTGTAATTTTTTTTAACATCTCTTGTTACTATATTATGCTTTGACGTTCTGTTTTATCTTACAATTTTACTTCATTTTGTAAGTAAATGTGCTGCAATATAACAAGATTTGCTCTACAAAAATCTGTTAACTTGGCAACTTTTTAATTGTTTATAAGCTGTCAGCACATTGTTAATAGATGTATCCAGATGGATTTTTAAGAAAGGTACAGAAAAGGTAAGGAAAGTAAATACAGCAAAAAAGATTATATTCTGTCTCTCGAGGTGTATCCTCACTGCACAAAACTGCTTGATGAAAGAAATACTTTTAAGGAGCTGCCACTTCTCATTTCATTATATGGGTTTATAAAAAATCTTGACAGTGCCCTTCAGACTATTAGAATTTGTCTTAATTTTCTGGGGGAAATTTCAAGTTTGATTAATTTGTTTAACACTTATTTGTCCCATTGCTTAATGTTCACTTAGATTAATCTTCTGTGAAGTGGAAATTCTCTTAGAGTTTTTTGTTGCAGTCCATTCAGATTTAGTGTGCTTTATGAAATAATAGAATTTAGTCCTTCCTTTGGTGTAGCACAATTCTGTGGTTTATTTATTTTTTTTAATACCTTCTAGCTCAATATGACTTCTAAGGACTACTCTGAGTAAGCACATAAAATCTTGAGATGAGGTCCTGTAGTTTTGGTTTTTTTGTTTTTGTTTTTGTTTTTGTTTTTTTTTTATAATGAACAAAAAAGAATTATAGGAAGGTAGCTGAAGCAACATGTAGATGGCTTATGATTTTCTGTTAAATTCCTTGGCATTTATTTAACAAATTATGATTTTTGTCTTCTGCTGCTACTAAGCCTCATAGGGATGTAAATTTTGCATGTTCTCCTTTACCTCATTTGATGTTTACCAATTATTAGTTTGGGAACCTTTACTTTTGGAGTTGTTAAGAGACTTGGCCCTCTTCTGGAAGTATGCTTATCATCCATGGGGCATGTGGCTTTACATCAGCATTCTACTAGATAAGCACACTGAGTTCCTCTTTAAAGTGTGGAGGGTCTTCCTTCATGGTTTCATCTGAATTTAGAGGCAAGCAGACAGGAGAAGCAAGACACAGTGACAATCACAGGTTTGTAATTCTCTGTAACAACTTCCCCCCCCCCCCCCCCCCTTTGGTGTTCATTTGCAGAAGCTGATAAAGAGAATAATCTGAAAAACTTATTCTTCCTTTCTAGGAGCATTAATTATTCCTTTCCTGTCTGCTCTTGGATACCTGTAGTGGTCATGAAAGGTGGGCAGATACATCCTGCAGTTGACTGAGAAACTTTGTACCTAGATACTACAGTGGTGAACAGCAGTAAGAGTTCACTGAATCCTTACAGATAGTTTGTGAGTCCATAGTGAGTATGGATTGTTTGTGTGGGTTTGACAATCAACAAAAGTGATTACCCCTTTATAGGCATTTTAAGGTATTAAAGAGTGCTTTCACCCCAAGTACAAGCTTTCTGAGAACTGTCATTTCCATAGAATCTACAGAAGTTAACACAAGATGTGGGGTAAGGATACAGAAATGTTTGTTTAGAAAGGGAGGGAAAAAAAGTCATGCAAACCCAGACTCTACCTTCTTGAAGTCAGGAAATCAGGATTAAAAAAAGTCTTAGTATCTACATTGTTTGAAAAGACCTGAAAAAAATGTTAGGGCTTTTATTACACATAACTAAAGCAGTTAAGTATTTCAAAGGAGAATCAATGTTAGACCTAAAATATCCTGAAAGGTTCAAGATTGGGGCTCAGATATCAGCTTGGCTGTGGAGCCAGTGGACTGGACAATAGGACTCAGAGTCATCTTAAGAGAGAGTGTTGAAGGAATGTGGGAGCAGGCTATGGACAGATGGGAGAGCATATTTGTAATTTCAAAGGGATTACTTTAGATTTTGTACTTTGACTAAGAAATAACAGAACATTTTTACATCCTTTGAGAATTACATAGGGCTCTAGAATGTTCAGCAGGCAAAAATTATTGCCTGTCTTCAGTGAGCAGGAAGACTAACATCTTGAGAGAGGTTCTGAAGAGATCTCAGATCTGAAGGGCAAGTCATGTCAGTATTTTGATTCTTCTTTGGCATTCTGCTTGCTTTATCTGAAAATTATTGATTTTTAATAACAGCTAAGAGAGAAAAGATGAACAGTGTGATAGGAAGTGCACATAAGTAACTTTCCATTTACACACCAATTCACACAATGAATAGTAGCACACTGAAGAACAGAAAATTAATGTGGATTGATAGAAAAATATGGGGTATACCTGGGTTTTACACATAGTTTCCAAAAAAAAATTATTGCTGCATCCAGTACCAAGGATTTAGTTTGCTTTTCTATAGACTATTTTTATTATTATTTAGAAAAAGCATAGTTACAGTTTTTCACACATAGCTACAGCTATAAGTATTAATTCTGTTGACCTTTTACAGGATAATTCAAAATTCCAACTGTTCTCAGGTGTTATAAACATAGCTCATGTAGTAAATATATTTTTTTTCAGCTAGAATGTCTTGTGAATTCTAAGTATTGAAGGAAATAACGTAATTATGTTCTGCCTATGTATGCATATCAATACCTCTTGAAACAACCATTTTAAAATGCTGCTCAACAATATCTCATAATACAGGAAATATTGCTCATAAGTATCAGTTTGTTAAAGAGCTCAATTCTGTGAAGGTTTTCAAAAGCAGTATGGCAAGTTTGAGAAGGGTGTAAGTTCAAGCAGTCTTATTTGGCACACAACATTGTTTTTGGACAAAACCTGACTACATTTTCTGAAACAAGTTCTGATATTGCAGGAAACAGCTGAGCCCTTCACCTAGGATGGTGGCCTCCTAGGAAAGTGCATTTAAGGAAGGGCAAAACACTGGACAGAGAGGAGGAAAAATCCTGCCTGAATGCATTTCATTATTTCACTTGGTATTTTATTTCAAATAGAGGTCTCTGACTTTGCTGTCTGAGATCCCAAACTCACCTTTTTTTAACATTCCACCAGCTACAGAACATCAGACTAATGGAACTTTCAGTTCACCCATTACCTAACCATACAATTTGCTAACATTAAGGTTTTGAACCTGTATGTTTTACAAAAGAAGCATTGAATGAACACTGACATAAAAGCAAGCTTCAGCTCTGTGGGACAAAAAACACACTTGTGAATTTTCCCCTATTTTCCTCTCTTATTGCATGTTGGTAATATTTTCTGGGAAAATATCACCCAAAGAACATTTCTTATCATCATGTGTCTTTCTTGAAGAACAGTATTTCTTTTCAAATCATAGAATCATACAATCATAGAATAGTTAGGGTTGGAAAGGACCTCAAGATCATCTAGTTCCAATCTCCCTGCCATGGGCAAGGACACCTCACACTAAACCATGCCAACCAAGGCCTCGTCCAATCTGGTCTTGAACACTTCCAGGGATGGAGCCTTCACAACCTCCCTGGGCAACCTATTCCAGTGTCTCTCTCACCACCCTAACTTCCCCTGTTTAAGTTTTAACCCGTTACCCCTTGTCCTATCACTACAGTCCCTAATGAAGAGTCCCTCCCCAGCATCCCTATAGGCCCCCTTCAGATACTTTACCCTTTGCTCCTATTACTGAGATTTGTTCAGTTTCTGACAGGCCGTGCCGGCAGAGGTTCATTATCTGCTGTCCAGAGATTGCCCCAATGAACTGATAAGAAAAGGCTTGTGAAAATTTGATCACCCCCTTAGCTGGACAGAAGTCTCAGACAGCAGCTCCTGGCCTTGTTTCTACTACCACTGAAGGGGTATCTATTATCCCTGTATGCAGCAGAACAGTTGATGTGAAAAGGCTAAATTTATGTCCTTCTTTTGATCTTCTGAGGAAAGACAAACTTTGCAGTTTGTCTCACACACAAACTTCTGGAAACCAGCAGATTTGTCATCTGAAGGCTGGGTGATTTGGCATGTTTACTTTAAAACTTTTGATGCAGCCAGTGTATAAGTGACAGAGCAGTGTCACAAACTTAGATCATTATTAGCTAGATGTGAACAATTAAAGACAAAAATCAAGCCAGTTACCTGAATATTATTTTTTATTATTTACTATTGTTATTGTAATATTGTGTCTAATCTTGAATAAATTTGATTTTAACTGGCAGCTGTGTTTGATTATAAAGAAACCCAACCCAAATGCTATATATCAAGGTCTTGTGCAAGTTTAAAATACTTATCTGTGCAGGGAGAAAGAACAATGAAATATGTGACTGACCAAAGATAAATTAGTCAATAAAGTAAAAATGTGTGATTCATAAAGAATGTGTCTGTGGATGAAGTATCACCTCATACATTTAAGGATACCTCTGTTTTCTTTTAATTTACTTTCATTTTGTTATATATATTTGAAAAACAATTTTGTCTGTGCAAAGACCTTGATGATTGCTCTTTGCAGTTTTTTTATAAATGTGAACTGTAGATGCTGTGCACTTTAAAAGCAAGGAAGTATCTTTGGAAAGAATACCTTGGAAATAGATCCCTCAGCATAGCAGCAAGGACACTGAAAATCGAAGGGAACCAGTAAAGGATGCCCATAATTAACTTTCTTGAATAAAGTATTTTGATTCCCCACCTTTCTTAAATGTAGTGCTTGCTGGGATCCTCTGAGGGAGTTTCAGGACAGTAGCAAATATATATGGTTATGCAAGCCCTTTTTGTTAAACTTTGGCAATTCTTTCTCTGTGCAAGACAAATCTAAATCTAAGATTTATTTTTTTTTTTCCTTGTGTTACCTGTGTGTTTTTTTTTTCCAAGGAGGACTGATGGTACTTAAGGTATCTAACGAGTAATGACCTGGCTGAGATTTGCACTGACAGAGCATCTATCTAAGATTGTTCTCTTCAGGGAGAAATTGAAGCACAGTATTTCATTGTATTCCAGAAGAGAACTGTTAGAATTATGATACAATAACCACAAACACCATGGAGTAATTATCCTTTCCAGGTCTGGTCATTGCAATAGCATAATTCACTAAATTAGTTCTTGCATTTTAAGGAAGCTGCAAATTAGCATGTTTGAGCAACAGGCAATCTGACTATTACTACATGGAGAAGCCTCCCCTCATGGTGCTGTAATTACATTTTTTAAAGACACTAAGCTCCTTTTTTTAGCAAATCACACCTTCTTTTTTTTTCTTTTTTTTTTAAGCAACTTTCATGCTTAGACTTGCTAAGAGTTTTTGATTAAGGAGCACAGTAATTATGTATACCAAAGACAGGAGCATCCTGCTACACTCTGTTTGAAACCAGGCCCTAAATATATTGGAATGGGGGAAGGGAAGTTGAATGAATCCCTTCAGAAAAAATGTTGTTCTTGTCTTAACATCTATAGCAATTGCTTTGTCTGGATTTACCTATTGGTATGTTGTTAGCTGCTGTTAACTGTATATGTTATTTCTCTGAAGTGCTCACCAAATGCTTAAGGACTCTATTTCTTTTTCCACTTTGAAGAGCATTCATCTTGTGCTGACACTAGGCAGGAATGTCCAGTTGGACTCTGTTCAATCCACTTGAGCCTTCTAGACAGTGAAAACTCTAGATCAGTTTCAGAACTTATTCCTAATGTAAGGGTTATTTGCTACCAGAATTTATTCTATGATTCAAACCCAGCTTTACTGATGGTATTGTTGTTTTCAGCAGAGGTAATTATTTAAAGAAATCATCCATCCAGAGTACAAGGCCTTCCAAGGTGAATGACTTGGCCTTTGAGATGGGATGTACTGATGTTTTCAGGGAAACACAGTTCTTTTTCTTTCTTTTTTTGAGCACAGCTTGTTCGCTTTATCACAGTATCACAGTATGCTAGAGATTGGAAGGGACCTCGAAAGATCATCTAGTCCAATCCCCCTGCCGGAGCAGGAACACCTAGATAAGGTTACACAGGAATGTGTCCAGGCGGGTTTTGAATGTCTCCAGGGAAGGAGACTCCACAACCTCCCTGGGCAGCCTGTTCCAGTGTTCCGTCACCCTCACTGAGAAGAAGTTTCTTCTCAAGTTTATGTGGAAACTCTTGTGTTCCAGTTTGTACCCATTACCCCTTGTCCTATCATTGTTTGCCACTGAGTAGAGCCTGGCTCCATCCTCGTGACACTCCCCCTTTATATATTTATAGACACTTATAAGGTCACCCCCCAGTCTCCTCCAAGCTATAGAGACCCAGCTCCCTCAGTCTTTCCTCATAAGGGAGATGCTCCACTCCCTTAATCATCTTAGTTGCCCTGCGCTGGACTCTCTCCAGCAGCTCCCTGTCCTTCTTGAACTGAGGGGCCCAGAACTGGACACAATATTCCAGATGGGGTCTCACCAGGGCAGAGTAGAGGGGAAGGAGGACCTCTCTCGACCTACTAACCACCGCCCTTCTAATACACCCCAGGATGCCATTGGCCTTCTTGGCCGCAAGGGCACAGTGTTGGCTCATGGTCATCCTGTCGTCCACCAGGACCCCTGGGTCCCTCTCCCCTACACTGCTCTCTAACTGGTCGTTTCCCAACCTATACTGGAACCTGGGGTTGCTCCTGCCCAGATGCAGAACTCTACACTTTCCCTTGTTATATTTCATCCAGTTATTCCCTGCCCAACTCTCCAGCCCGTCCAGGTCTCGCTGGATGGCAGCACAGCCTTCTGGCGTGTCAGCCACTCCTCCCAGCTTAGTGTCATCAGCAAACTTGCTGATAGTACACTCGATTCCCTCATCTAAATCATTGATGAATATATTAAATAATACTGGTCCCAGTACTGACCCTTGAGGCACTCCACTAGTTACAGGCCTCCAACTAGACTCAGCCCCATAGACTACAACTCTCTGGCTTCTCTCCTTCAGCCAGTTCGCAGTCCACCTCACTACCTGATCATCCAGTCCACACTTCCCCAATTTAGCCGTGAGGATGCTGTGGGAGACTGTGTCAAATGCTTTGCTGAAGTCAAGGTAGACCACATCCACCACTCTGCCATCATCCATCCACCGTGTTATTTCCTATGATCAGAAGTTAACTTTTAAGTGTTTGTTTGTTTTTTTTTTTTGCCTTCTGTTGACAAAACTTGAGGAAAATAAAGCAAAGGTCTGCTTGGTAGATCATATTCTGTAAAGAGGTACAAATAGGAAGCAGTCTCTTTATTCCCTGTTTTAAAGACTGCTCTAGTTTATCTGGGATCTTGTTTTTCAACAATTTCCTTGGCACGGGACAAGGATGTGTATGTGTGGCTGCAGTCCCAGTGCTGCCTGAGGGTTATGAATCCATCACTGAACCTAGGTAGGCTTTCAATCATCTGCCACTTGGGCTGCCTCTCTGTGTCACACCTCTGTTGCCCCCTGCCTCCATCTCTTTGTCTGTCTCTACCTTGTTGTCTTACTCTGTCTTTGTCGTCCTCTGTTTCTCTGCCTCTTTCTCTTTTTTTTTTTTAATAGCACCTCAGAATATTTAATCAAATTTGACCTAGAGACTTACATGTGAAGTAGTTTTTATCTGGAAAACTCTGGCTTTTGTTCCCTGTGAAGACTATATACATTCTGTATATGAACAGATAATTTGAAGATGTTCCCCTGGTGCATTTGAGTTCAAAGGAGATCTTGGGGACCTGGGGTATCTATACATTTGCTCTGTGATTGTGGCACAGTTGGGATGTGGTCTCTGTTTTAAGAGCTGACATAATTAGAAATCTGAAAGATTTGCTTTTAGCTTTTTAGACTCAAATAAGTAAGTTAACTCTCACTTCTGAAGTCCTTTTCAGTATGAGTTTTAGCTTTGTTTCTGTGATAGTTGATTATAATCTGAATTGTGAAGACATTAAATGTTCTTTATAAATGTACTTGGTCTCTTTTTAGCTGTTTCATTCTCTGTCTCCATCATTCTCTTCATCTTGATTATATAGTAGTGAATTGTCTGTAAATTAAAAGTCAGTTGCCTATGGCTTTGGATTTCTGATAAGACAGACTTGTTCTAGTTCCCCCATTTCCTCGAATGTGTAGAGGCAAGTACTAATTGCTGTCCTGTGGAACAGCTGTGAGCTGGGAATTGAAGGTAGTTAGTATAAAGAAGACGGAAGTATTTCTGAGAAGCTGGCTGTTAACATCAGTTATTCTAGTAATGAACCTGCCACAGAAAATTTATGGACTCAGTCAGAGATCAATATGACCAAAGCTGTTTATTGAAAAGCCTCAACCCCTTATATACTATTGCTTACATGCACTTACAGTGATTTGACATATGACTGGATACATGTCTTGAAGATCCTTAGTGACTAACATATGAT